CTAAAAGTAGCTTCTGTTGACGAATGAATCACGACTTGCTCTGACAAATTATCCGCTGTACGGTTCGACCCTATTTGCGGTGTTGGGATCTTTTGACAGGTGTTCAACGTGGTATAGTGACTCGAAACATACTGACTAGTTGTCCTCAAGTAGAGTAGAAGCATACATTAAAGGCGTAATTTAGTCCCTCGAACAAAATTGTCAAACTGCTCTGATTGGTTGGACTGTTCGCATTGACTTTTGCGGCCTTGATCTACTCGTATTCCAATTACTAGTCCAAGTTGGTTGCCATATCCAAATGGGTTTAATCATATTTAATGTTCGAATAATTTAAGTCATTTGCTACTTTGTGGCGCAGTTCAAACATTTATTTATTCACAATTGTCCTAAAATCAAGCCAAACCAGTTCAAAATTCAAATGTAAACAGAAACAAGTAATACTTACGATCCAAACGGTTCATATGTACATTCCTTGACAGTTTCAAACCCTTCTTGTAAGCATTGCAACTCATTGTTTGCAGCATACAGCCAGTAAATTTGAGAAATTCCCAAACCAAACGCAACCCACACAAAGAAAAATATGAATAAAAATTTAAAAATGTCATAGTTCATCTTGCTCAATGATATCTGTAGTGGTCCTACAAGGTCGTTCATGACGATAACACGGAGCAGGCGCAGTACGCTCAACACGTTAGCAACTGCAAATGTCACGCTACTGACGAGGGTGGGATCCCATTGGTTCCATTCATCAATGGGTACAGAATAGGACACGTCATCGTAGCCATAGTCAGATGGATCAAGAATACTTGGCTGGTTAGATAGGGAGGCTTTCTTAATATAGTAACTATAGTCACTCAACAAAGCAGTTAGATTTGACACAGTATTCTGAAGTCCACTAGTTCTGTGAAAGTATTCCATTAATGACGTCATGTTGCTAATCATTTGCGTCATAAGATTGTTCAACTCGTCCCGTGTAAAGTTTTTTAAGTGTTCGTGCTCGTCATCAATAAAATTAATAAGTGTATAGTTGTTGTCAAGTGATCTTCTCAAAACTTGAGTCGCCTTTTGACGTTCATTGTTTACCTGCAATATGAAACGTATTTATGTCAACATTGTTTATTTACTCACTGTGAAATACTTTATTTTCGCTTGGAATTAATTTTGCTATTTTCACTGAAGAAATGAATCAATGAAAATAAAATCCAGCGAATATACCATTTTTCCTATATTTTACAATCAACATGTCAAAAATCAGTGAAAATAAATTTCATACAAAACACCCAACAAAAATTAATTGCAGCTAAAATAAAGTATTTTACAGTATTTGACAATTCCGAGTTTATTGTTATGGTGAATAATCTTATATTTGTTTCTGATGGGTTTGGTTGACATTACGTATTTTCTCACGTCTTATTTTGTTCTTCACCGGAAATCAGTCTTCATACGGAGGTGTGTGATATCATACGTTTTT